CTTCTATCACTATTGGATAACATTTTTTCACATTAAGTTATATATCAAACATTATATTTTTTTTACCAGACAAACCATATTGTATTAATTCGTACGGAGACGCAGTAATAAAATAATAAGCTTGATAGCCAAGAAAAACGTATGGTTTGCGTGTACATTCATTGAATTAGTCGGATATGTGACACACACACACAAAAAAAAACTTATATTCTTAACCAACTAAAGAATGATAAATAATCGTAATTCAAATTAGTTAGGCACTTGTGCTTCGGATTATTAACCCCTTCTACATGCTAATTTACTATTAAAGATAACAAGTTGCACAAAAGAAAATGGAAATCAATTGATTCAAACCTTATTTTTAACACGTTGGTATAAGTAATTTTGTTACTAGCCGTCACTTTGGAAATTTAACGTCGTAGATATATTACTTTGACATTCATAAGCCGACGGTACACGAATCTAGCCATGTTCTTAATCTTATCCATTAACTATTTTTTAACGGAGTTAAACTATTCAGTCTGCAATATATTATTTGAAGTTTTATGCATGGTTTTCACATTCGAATTGCGATATTATATGTTTTATACTTTTTAACAGTGAATATATAAATTTCAATCTAACACGCCGGTCTTAGATTTGGCAGTTTCTTTCCTCTTATAATCGTGCGTTTTTATACCTCTCATGCTTTTCTAACAATTCTATAATAGCGACAAGAAGTTAATTAAGTCACGTTAATCGCATAAATTTATCCATCTGTGCCGTATAACAAAATCTCCATTTTTTTTTGTATGCCGTTATAATGTGACACGTTACTTTAAACAAAATGGCCGTTTTATTCATGACTCTCAATGTAGCGAATGAATAAAAATATCACAAATATTATCAGGAAAAGTTGCAACACCTAATTTCTTATTTTTCATATCAAATAAAACTATCCCTTGCAGGAAATACCGTCAAATTAATGGTTTTTTTTTCATTTGGCGATTAACCGTGATCCATCTAATCTTTGGAATAAAATAAAAATATGTTAGTTAACCACATAATCCTCATATTTGTAGATACATATGGAATAATGAAATGAAATGAAATTTCAAAGGGTGATTTTGGTTAATAATTAAAAAAAAAAACATAATATAAAATCTAACAATTTGGGTAAAGATAGATCGGAAGAAATAGAAAGACAAAATTGTAAAAATAAATATGATGGTAATTAAACTGTGGTGACGTTGAAGCACAACTGGACCACGTGTGTGAAGAGCAGAAACTGACTGGTTGATCAAAACTGTCAGAATCTGATTGGTCTTTTACAAATGATATATGTTTCATTGCATTCACGTGCAACCCTATTTAGCCACAAATTTCCCAAATTTATTACGTGTGCCAACAAACAAATCCCAAATCATTGATACTGACAATTTAGCTTGTCTTTTTCTCAAATAAACTCTTGCAAGTCTGCCCAAAAAAAAAAAAAACTCTTGCAAGTTTTATGGTTTTGGCCCAAGTTACATTTTATTGCATAACTATTCTTTGTGGGTCTCTGCAACTTTCACTTTATGATTTTCAGTAAATTCTAAAATAGAAAGAAGAACCTAATTTCCAAGAGATCACAAGTTGAGAATTGTTTTCAACTTATGATGTTACAGAGAAAATCTTTCTTACCTAATACTAGTAACAGAATTTGAAACTAAAACACCACGACTTTAAGGTGTTCTCCTATTTGAAGATACATCTCTCGTGTGGGACTCTTGCCCATAAACTTTCCACAAAATCGAATCGTTGTTCACACGTATCCTTGTGTTTACAGGTCTTAC